ACACACAGGGAGCACTCGGTACACTACAGTATAGAGCCATTTGGCTCGCTGCGGAAGCCGGTGGGTCGTCGGCCAGGTCAGCGCTCTGTGTTTTTATCGGAATAACAACAGTTCAGCGTGTTTTCGGAGATGAAATACAGAATTGTAATGATCTCACAGTCTTTAAAAAAAAATGGCCTCATGATATCTATGTTCTAGTGATTGTACTCTGTTAATGTGGAGATGTTTGGTGCACTTGGTACTTTTTTATTGTCTGTCAAACATGGGGTTGCAGCCAGTTAGCAACTTTAGCGATATTTGATCATATTTAGAACAGCTGCCATTTTCTTAAAAAGATTCTCAAGAGACATAGGCCTTTCATATGGAACAGATAAATTTGGCATACAGCTACTTTGAAAATTTTGTTTCTAATACACCACTAATTCCTCCCTAGTTTGGTCATGGCTCCGATAGTTTTCCTCCTTTTCCACTTAAGTGTCACTGACAAATATATTTCGACTTCTATTCGAAATGAATGGATACTTTTCTCCTCAAAAGACGAGACAAATGTACAAGCTTTACGATGATACCAATTATTTCACATGCCCAAAAATTGATGAGGGCCTGTTTCCATCGCGACGTGACCCATATGTCTTTCTTAGACAGGTGGATGGCTTGGACATTGTCATTATGATGTAAAAAATGCAAGGGAGGAAGTGTGAAGTGGTCATGTGTACATGTGGCTGTCTTGGACAGGACAGGTGGCTGTTGGGGCTGGTTGAACTGCATCTAGGTGTTTTTTAGGGTTACGATGTATGTAATGTACAGTAAATCTCGGTACAACCTACTCGACTTAAAACGTGCTCTCAGCTGCACCATTCACTTTTTGAAGTCCCGAGTCCCATCTAGTATTTTTACTTTTTAAAAGCTATGTCTAAAACTAAAAGGGATATTAGTGTTCAAAAGTCAGTTTGCAATGTACATTGCACATAATGGGAATAAACTAAAATGGTAAAAAGTGATAGATTTCTCTTACTCAAGAATACAATTTTCTCAGCTGCGGTGAGAAGACAAGTTATTTTTACATCACAGCTTCTTGTGCAGCTGTCTGACTTTCGCCCTCTGTACACAGAGCTCTTGTAGTTGCTCAGTGGTGCCTCTTTGCATTTTGAAAGTCAGTAGTTATGGTAAAGCCAGAAAAAAGGCAAGCATTAGTTTGGCAAGGTATTAAAAAATTTGTGCGCTTGGTGTCGTGGGTGATATCCTAGGTCAATGAGAGAATTTGATTTTTAACGCCCCCC